TTGTATAAGTGTTGTTCATAGTCGGCCGGTATGAATCGATCGTGAAGAAGCCCCTTCATCCTCCTCCAAGATTGCACTGGGCCTTTCCCTTGTCGAGTCCGTGATCGCTGCAACTGGTCCCACCATACAGCCGCACCACTTTTCAACTTGTACGCAACCATCTTGACCATCCTCTCGGGTGGGGTGTTCATCACATCAAAAGCACTCTCCACTTCGACCACCCAATCCAGAAAATCCTCTATGGGGAGGTTTCCATGGAAAGGTGGAATCTTAGCCCTTGTCGGGTAATCGTCGTACTGCCTCTGTCCCTGCCTAGGTTGATTTCCGTCGACTATTGCTCTGTCGTTCCCATCCAAGTCTTCCTCACTGTCCGGGTGAGGACATGGTTGGTTACGAATCTGATTCCTAACATGCGCACCTCGGGCTAATTCCCCAGCGCGCGCTATATTAGGTTCGCCCCTCCTGTTGTTGCCATTGAGGGCAATTCCCTGTAGCAACTCCCGAAGTTGCTGCAGCTCACCTCGAATCTCTACTCGAAATTCCTTTATAGTCTGTCGAGTTTCTTCTCGAGCGAGCTCGACTGCTGCCTGAATGCTATCAACCTCGAGGTCATCGCCATCGCGGTTGCCGTCTCCTTGTTTCGCACCTTTCGCCATCTAACCAGGAAAAACCTCGCTACTGATGCCAACTGACGCAACACGGAAGCACGGTAAAGAATTAATTTCTACGAATTAATCCTATAGAACACGAAAACTCTGGAATCCACCAGATAATTGAGAGAAAACTCATAAATTTTATTAATAATGAAAAGATGCTGAAAAATAAACCCTAGAGCAACTATTTATACTAAAGAAAACGAGAAACCTAATCAAACTAGGAAAACGAGAAAATTACCAAAAAAGACAAAAACAAAATAACTCATAAACCTAATAGAATACCGAAAATAGCAAAAACGTCGTTTTGAAGGCCTAAACGACCTCGAAACGCCAAAATCCATCGCACTTCACGGCTATGCCATGAGTTTGACTCCCCTCGTCGTTCCAGTTCGGAAAAGCTTGGCCCCACCCAATTCCGACCCCGCCACCTCTGCATCAAAACCACCTGAACTTTTTCAGTTTTTGCACATCACCACCTGAACAAAATTTGTTTGCAGGAGTTTATGTCAAAATGACCGGTTCTCACCCCACCCCACGTGCGCTTCACATGACCAATTCAAAGCTATTGATGTATTTTCAATTACTAAAATAATCGGCCCCTAATTCCCGTTAACATTCACACATTCTCACACATTTCATTTCATCCATTTTTTATCGTTTTCTAGGAAAAATGAAATCAAAGTAATTCCGAAATCACAAAAATCACAAGGGTGCTTGGTTCAGAAGAAAATGAAATCAAAGTAATTCCAATTTAGAAGAAATGAGAAAATAAAATGTTGTTCGATGATTTTTCATAATATAATAAAACCCAAAAAAAAAAAAAAACACTTTAAAACCTCACCTCTTATCAAAACCCACCCATACAAATACTGAAGGGATGGTGATTAGGGACGGTTCTTTCTATGGAGTGAGACAACGTCGACGAGGGGCAGCGATAGGGAACTACCACCGACGGTGGTTGGACTGACCGTTGTTGTAACAGCAGCCGCCAATGTTTCAAAAAAAAAAAAGTCAACGCCGGTGACCTGCGATCTCCGAAATTGGAATAAAGGTCAAAATTGGTGAATTGGTGAAATGGGCTAAATTGTTGTGTAAATCATGAAATTGGAGTTGAATGAGGGTTTCAAGGAGTTGTGGGTAATTTTGGTATATATAAAAGGGTTGTTTTCTTTATTTGCAAATAAGGTTGAATGAGTTGGATTTATTTGGAAGACAAAAAAGTTAGATGTCCCTTTTTTATTTAAGTGTTCTTGTCATGGGCCTATTTGCTACTTGTCCATAATAAAATACTAATATGCACGATTTCAACAATAAAGAAATAACAAGATTCCAGTAAACCGGTATACATATATTGATATACATATAAACATGGTTTGCCAGAACAGTCGAGCAGGTTGTTGCAGAGACCCTTTCTTTCCAAATAAAATGCAACATCACGGGGGTTTTTGCGGTCGGAACCGACAATTTTTAATAAAATGCTAAAAGTTGTTTTTTTTATAAAAAAAAAATTGTATTGAAATTGTAATACAATAACATATAAAATGATATTAAAATTCCAAAAATTATGTTGCTACAATGTTACAACAGTCCTTTAAAACCTGTATAATTGCAAAAGGGTGAAACAATGTTAATCAATTTAAGGGGGGAAGTCTAAGTTTTAAATAAATCTCATGACTTTTTTATAGAAATCTTAAAATATAATTGAAGATTCTGAAAATATAAGAAATCCTAGTAAGATTTTTATTCTTGCGAATTGACCCTGCCTCAAGTAAGAATTAATTTAAACACTGGGACCTGATTGCAAATTTATATAATTACACCCATGTAATCTAACATGATTAATCGACATGATCTACATGGTTACTGAGAGTTAAACGCGAAGGATTTACACAACCGACAAAAGTTCTTCACACGCAGCAATCGGAATGATATTCATGTCTGCACTCGACTTAAAATTTACGGATTGGTCAGTGGTAATATCTTTATAAATTGATCAGTGGTAATATCTTTATACTTACTTGTTCACCTCATTTTCATGCTTGTTCGCCTTTTCGCCACTTAATTACCATGAAAACAAGTAAAATTCAACAAATGCATGATTTAACCTCCTAAATGAAATTATGACTAAAATACCCCTAAATTAGATACAAACACTGCACAAGTGCTCGATTCTTAGCTTAAATAGATTCTTATAAGGGGAAATTTGCTAGACACCCCTTATTTTGGACTTATATAGGTAGAGATCCTAGTCGCTAGATGGATATAGGTATAGGTCATTTGACTCAAAAAAATAATATAAATAAAATAAAATAATTAGTGTATAGACATAATCACCCTCAATTAATTAGAAAACAATTCTCATATATCTTCTCTCTCCAATCTCACGTTTCTCTCATCCTATATTTAATCTCTCATCTTCCCTCTATGTCTCACGCCTTTCTCCCTCTCTCGAGCTTCTCTGTTTTTTGTTTTTCTTTTTCTATACTTTTTTGATAAAGAACTATTATAGAGAAGGAAAAAAATAGGAATCTTTTTAGATTATGAGATGATTTATTGGTGGAAGAATTAAAGAGGACAACAAAAATTCAAAAATCCAAAATCATAGCCAAAATTCACATTGTGTCTCCCGTATGTAGAACATTCCCATCGTTTTTGTTGTTAGCAATTTCCGTTTGCAGATTGGTTTAACTTCGTTTGTTGTTTGAAGAATTGCGTTTGATGTTGAGATTTGATTCCTCTGGTTTACAATTTGCAAGGTATGTATTAAGTTTGATTTTACAAACATTTTGTTTAATGTTTTTGTTGTTTGCAAATTGTTCCATAAACAATTTTTTGGTTTGATGTTTTTAATGATGCTGATTTTTTTTATTTTTTTTCAGTTTGTTGTTTCCATTTGGCCAAGTCATATGTAGTTTATTGCTTGCAATTCAAAAATGCAAGTTTTGCTGAATGTTTTTCTTCAGTTTGTTGTTTGCGTTTGGCGAAGTCATAGGTAATTTTTTGTTTGTAATTCAGTAATACAAATTATGGATTTTGTTTTTTCAGTTTGTTATTTGCATTTGGCCAAATCATAGGTATTTTATTGTTTTCAATTCAATAATATAAAATCTAATTTTCATTTTGCTATTTGCAGTTCGCGGAGTCATAGGCGTCGCAGTTCCCGGATCATAGGCGGTGGTGGGGCTGCGGTGGCGTTTTTTGAGTATGAGTTTGTAAAATAAGTTGTATATTTTTGTTATGAATTAATTTATTTATTTGTTTTAGTTAATATTTGGAACAAAGATGTTTGAGAATTTGTTTTGATAGAGAGATTTTTGTGGATTTGATTTGATTTAATTAAGCGTATTTTTGCCATTATTAATATATTAAAACATTAAATTTTGACTTGGATTTACACACATAAATTATAATATAGAGGGACCTATAGCAAATTGCCCCCAAATTATTCGTTTGCTCTAGTTATAGTTTATGTTTTCATTTATCTTCTTTTATTTTTCTTCATGTATCTTGAAATAAAAAAAATATTTTAACTTCTTTTTGGATATGAATCGAAATAGATTTGAGTTTTTCATTTTTTCATTCCAATTTTTATATTTATATCACAGATGTGGAATGAATATGAAATTAGTTTTTTTATTTGATTTTAATAATTTTCAAAAATGTTATTGCCAATCAATTTATATTGTTATACTTATCCAGTTTCCACCTTTATTATTACGTGGTATTTTTTAATAAAAAAAACAATTAGATTGATAAATTTTTAGGGTCCATTTGATATACACCCCTAGGATGTAAAATATATAGGGATAGATCCACCCATAAAATTTTTCTTCCTTTGAGATAACCCTTGGAGAGGCAAAAGTACTATTGTACACTTAATTGCAATTTTCAGCAAACTGCATCAGTATTTCGCCCCTGCATTCAGCATAATGCCCAACTGTATTTAACATGTTTGGCCCTGCATTTATCAATTTATATACTCCAGATTTTTTGGGCAGATTTTTCGGGCAGATATCAATTTCGGGCAGATTTTTGAGCCTGCATTTTTTAACAAAAAATATAAATGTTTAGATTATTATATTTTTTATATATACCTTCTTTTGTATATCTTTTTTTTATTTTTAATTTTTTTTTTTAATTCCTTATTTTTTAATTTTTTAATTTTTTTTAATTTTTTTAATAAAATTTACTGTACTGCAATTGACTACACATGACTACAGTATACCACAATCATGTATAATTATATGTATTCATTTACTGTCTTTTTACCCCAAAATTAATCTACACCAACAACAAAATTCACAATTTTAATCTTGATATTATAAATCAACTAACCCAAAAAAATGAAAAAACACAATCAAATGCATATAATCATCAAACATGAACACGCATTACTATACATTCAAAAACAGATAGCATACATATAATTATATGTTACTACACGTGACTATAGTTATCTACAATTATCGATAGTTATATATATAGTGACATAGAGTCTAGACTATTGTAGTGTGAATCCAACTTCACAAGGCACTTCGGCGCATCTTATTCTCTGCATCTCATAAAATTATACAAATAGCAAAACCTGCGACAAAAAATACGAGTTAAAGAGCAAAATGGAACATGCAAATTAAATTACATGAAAAACTACTAAAAAATAAAAACAATGAATTTTGTTTTTTGTTTTTGATAAATTTACCGTACTGAAATCGATTACAAATGCCTATAGTATACTACCAATTCTATAGTCATGTATAGTTATATGTAGTCATGACTACATATGACTGTATATAACTACATATAATTGTATACTCACCTGACTACCAATTTTGTATATGTAGTCATGACTACCAATTCTAAAGTCATGTAACTATATGTAGTCATGACTACATATGACTGTATATGACTACATATAACTATATATTCACCTGAACAAAATCACTCATCCAAGTAACCACTATTGATTAAGTTTCTACTCCAGACAAACTAATTAAGCTGCACATAATCCATTTCAAGAGACAAAGTAGTTAAGATAGTACTAATCAAGAAACAATATTGTAGAAGAAGTCAAACATACATACGCATGACATGTCTAGCCGAATGGGTTTCATCGTCGGTGGGGAAGAGGGTGAGGACTTTCTTTCCGTTCGCCAGAGCAGCCGATTCCAAACCTTCGGTGGTGGCATAGGCTGACATTACATGAAAAATACCACAGCAATGAAAAACAATTTTTTTTGATAAATATATTGTACTAAAATCGACTACAAATGAATATAATATATACTACAAGTTCAATAGTCATGTATAATTATATGTAGTCATGTATCTTCTTTTTGCCCCAATAACCATTTTCCAAACAATTCACCAAGAAATTGATTACAGGCAAAAAAAAAAATCAAACACAATATAACTAAAATCATTAATAAAATTAAAATCACACACAAAATCCATCTCTTCTATTGATACAGAACCTCTATAACTAAATGCCTAGTGTGTATTGACATAATAATACAACAACTGTTAATGAAATTAAAATATTAATTCCTACAAATTACCACTATTCCACAAATTTCAATCATTCGACACACCAACAATTGTCCATGGATGATAAGCATTCTAGGAAGCCATTCTCTGCAACAATAATGACAAAAAATTCTTATGCAAAAGCTCATAAGGAAATCAAAAATTCAGATTATTAACAGAGAAATGGTATCTAGTGAAAATAAAATATTGAGGACATAAAGTTTAATGAGATTTACATCGTTCTTCTGGCGAGAAAGAGAATCAGAAAAGATCTAGCAAAGGGGCGCGTGGCGGTGGGCGGCGATGTCGCTGGAAGGGAGAGCAGCGCATGGCTAATGGAACGCGGCGCAAGGTAAAGGGGGAATGGCGGTGGGCGTCGGTGGGCGGCGGTCTGGTAGTGGGAGGCTGAGTGGCGGTGGTCGGCAGAAGGGTTGTGACATCTGGTGTAGAGAGATGGAGGGGAACGTGAGTTGATAGAGAGAGAGAGCGGGGAAAAACGAGATCTGCTTAGTAGGTCGTGAGGTTAGGTTATTGAGTTGGAACTCAAAGGGCAAAATAGGTACTTCAAGTTGTCCAGGAGGGTCTACCTAATTAAGTTCAGAATTTGGGTTTTTGACTATGACAAAAAAATACATTGGGCCTCCTCATATATATTTTCAAAACTAGGGAGTTACCCCACATTTTTATTATATTCTTTATCAACTTAGTGCAACACTTGCAACACTTGCCCCTCAATCATCAATAATTTTGTATCTTAAATTTCAAACCATATGATACCTTCTTCTTTTTTTCTAAATATAATAATACTCTTAAAATATGTCCACTTTTATCGGATGGAATAGTTCAAAATAATTCAAATAATTTATCAAAAAAATAAATTGAAAAGCAATGCAAAGTTTTAAAAAATAATATTTGAGACCCTGATGAAGAGAGAGAAGTTTGTGCGATTTGTTTCGATGATTTGTGACAAGAAAATAATAATCATGTTGTAAAATTGTTTGATGAGTGCATGCATGATTTGGACTCTATTTCATTACTTTCTGACATGGATTATTGCTGGTTTCTTAGTTATTTTTATTCTTTTTATGTGTTTTTGGTGTTTTTAGTGTTTTTATTGGTAAACACGTATAAAAAGAATGAACAATGGGTGAAAAATACAAGTTTCGGAGGCAAAATAAACATTTGGAGGATGAATTAAATGGAAAATGAGGGATAACCCCTTCATTAGGTAAAATAATAGATTGTGAGTTCAATTTATAATTGACCATTTATAAACAAACTCATATAATATTTTCTGAATTATGTAACCCCTCTAGTCTTATGTTAGTGCTCGTTATGTCTTTTTTTGTCTATGTTTTTCTCATTTCTCTCTCTTCTCCTAATTTATCTTTTATCCGTCATTTTATAGTCTCCATTCATTTCTCTCTCTTCCTTTTTTTCCTTACTTTGACTTGTTTTTTTGTTTTATTCTTCTTCTCCCTATCTCATCTCTCTTCTATGCTCTCTCTTCTCTCTCTTCTGCCATTTTCTATCTTCTCGTTCTCACTACTTTGCCTCTTCTTCTTCATCTCATTTTTTGGTCGTTGAAATCAATATATTTTCTACTTTATGAAATATCATGTTTTCAGATGAGATTTATTATCGTCAGTATTCCATTTTACAACACCATAGTTTCTTAAACAGAAAAATAATATAGTTATTAATCAAAAAAATATAGTTTATTACCAATTTTTTATAGTTGGCATCGGAAAAATTATAGTTGACTATCTAATTTTATAGCTGACTCTGGCAGCAATGTTGTTAACTACCCATTTTTTTTTAGAGTTGACTACATTTTTTATTGTTGACATCAAAAAAATTATAGTTGACTTCGGAACAATATAACTACCTGTAATTTATAGTTGACTATGGGTGTAGTTGACTACAATATTTTATGCTTTTCGCCATATTATCCCTTCTATTAAACAAATTCGTGGGAAACAAATATTTACGAGTCAACGATAATGCGACCATGGATTTGTAGATCTAAAAACCAAGTTTGTTTACAAAATCCATTCTTGAGTAATCAACAAGGAAGAATTCCGAACAAACACTATTTACAAATACCATTATTTACATGGATTAGATCTAATTAATCCCATGTTCCAAAAGAAACGAGGCGCAAGCTTGATGAAGTAAGTGAAAAATGCATCTTTGTGGGTTATAACTCAAAATCAAAGGGCTATCGACTATTTCATTTGTCGAAAAACAAAGTCATTATTTCACGAGATGTCTTATTCAATGAAAAGATGGCTCATGACTGGAAAGAAAAGGATGTACATGTTCAATCTTACTCTTTTGAAGAAGAGAAAGAAAATCAAGAAGATGAAGTTGAAGATGAGATTCCGGGGGAGGTTCCTCCAACTACATGTCAACCGTCTTCTCCATCAAGCTCAAATTTTTCTTCTCCGTCAAGTTCAAATTCTTCATCTCCGAGTTCAACTCCAAGGAAAATGAGAAGCTTGAACGATATTTATGCTAGATGCAATTTTTGCATTGCTGAACCGGAAAATTTCGAAGTATCAATAAACGAGGAAGCATGGAAGAAAGCCATGGAGGAAGAAATCCAAGTTATCGAGAAAAATAAAACTTGGGATTTGGTGAAAAGACCTCAAGACAAAGATGTAATTGGGGTGAAGTGGATTTTCAAAACGAAGCTTAATCCTGATGGTTCGGTTCAAAGAAACAAAGCAAGGCTCGTAGCAAAAGGGTATTCTCAACAGCCCGGAATTGATTTTCAGGAGACGTTTGCACCGGTGGCTTGATTGGATACGATTCGGACACTTATTGCATTAGCCGCTCAAAAGGGTTGGTTTTCATATCAACTTGATGTAAAATCGGCTTTTTTTAATGGAAAATTTGAGGAAGATGTGTATGTCGAGCAACCACAAGGCTTTGTTATCAAAGGAGAAGAAAGCAAAGTGTAGAAGTTGAAGAAGGCGCTATAGCATATGGTCGCCGCAAACCACCACTCTTCGACGTTCCAGGACACAACCACTCATCGTCGTGCTGCACATAACCGCTTTCCGCCGCCACCGTCGTGAACCGCAACCCATCGTCGCCAGTGCACACCGTTGGCCCTTCACCTTTGCTGAACATAGCAAACTGTTTTCGTTGAGAACATGGAAGAGAAAAGTTTGGAGAGAAAGGAGATGGAGAAGTAGAGAAGAAGATGGAGAGAGCGTGTTTTAAGAAGATTTGTTCAAGCGAGATTTTTGGAATATCTTGAGCGTAATTATGGTGGTTTAGGAAGATAGTTAACTTCTATGAATGTATTTGTTTTCTCGTAAGATTGGAGGGTTTTTTTCTAACACAAAATATGAAGGTACACATGGTAAATCACTTAGTGAGGGGTTCGCCTTATTAAAATTAAATGGGGGTGGTTAGTCCTAATATTTTTCTTACTGAGGGATTTATATCTCATTAACCCTAAATTAAAAAGGACGGTTTTGGCAGTGTTCACAATATTGGTCCTAACTCACTCATATAAATTCCAAATGATCTGATTCTAAAGGTATTGGAAAGCGAAAGCTATGGTAGGGGTACAATTCCTATTTCAAGACTATTTAAGCTAAGAATCGAGCAATTATGCAGTGTTTGTGTCTAATTAATCTGTCTTAGATCTACAAGAATGGAACATTTCAAGATTATTTAAGCTAAGAATGGATTTACAAATACACCTAAAAACTTTCAAGTGACTCAAGGATGGTTTTCTCCCGCTCCAAGCCCCGAGAGGAGTCTTATTGTTCAAGGATTTTGTAGGACATCTATTCAGCAAATAAACCGCCGTATACACAGCTTCGCCCCAAAAATCTTTCGGCAATCCCTTCTCATAAAGCATCAATTTCGCCATTTCTTCAATGCTTCCTATTCTTTCTTTCGGCGACTCCATTTTGTTGTGGAGTGAAGCCAACGGTAACCTGCCTATCGACACCAATATCCTCACAAAATTTGTTAAATTCATTGGAGTTATATTCACCTCCTGATCTATCACTTCTAAAAACTTTTAAAAGAAACCCACTTTGTCTTTCGACATACATTTGGAATTTCTTAAAAATAGAGAACACTTCAGATTTTTGTTTCATAAAATACACCCAAGTCATTCTCGTAAAATCATCAATGAAAATGAGAAAGTACTTGTTACCGGCATGAGTTGGAGTCGACATTGGCCCACACACATCCGTATGAACAAGCTCCAGCGGTGATTTTGCTCTCCAAGCTTTTTCTTTCGGAAATGACTCTCGATGGTGTTTTTCGAGTGCACATCCCTCACACGTTTCTTGCACTTCTTTGATAGATAGCAGCCCATAGACCATCTCCTTCTCTTTTAGGTTCTTAAGACTTTGAAAATTTAAGTGCCCAAGCCTTCTATGCCACAACCAAGATTCATCGACAACATCCATTCTCAAAGCGACATTATTTGTGTAGCCAAAAGAGATAGGAAAGCTGCGATTTTTCTGCATTTTGATTCTTGCTACAAATTGACGATTCTTGTCAAAAATTTTGCACCATTGGTAGTCTCCGAATTCGAGAAAATATCCATTCTCGACAAGTTGTCCAAGACTCAACAAATTTTGGTCCAAATCTGGGACATGCAAAACATCATTGATGCATCTTTTACCTCCATTCTTTCCGACGACAATAGTTCTTTTTCCTTCGGCTTTGACTAGTTCTCCGTTGCCCATCTTGACTTGAGATTTTGTGGCTGAATCGAGCTTGACAAAAATATTTTTGTCACTCGTCATGTGATTGCTACAACCACTATCGATAAACCAAACTTGGTTTTGTGGTTCCACTGCCGTTTGACAAGCATAGAACATCGTTTCATATTCTTGTTCCTCGGTAAAATTTGCTTGTTGGTTAAGCTTGACTCGACAATCCTTTTGAACATGCCCAAACTTCTTGCAATTGTTGCATTGTGGTTTACCTTTAAACCAACAATCTTTATCAACATGGCTGCCTCTTTTGCAAATTCCACACCTTTGTTGAGTAGACTCGGAATTGGAATTTCGATCAAAGTTGGTTCTTCCTCTTCCTCTTCCTCTTCCGAATCTGCCACCTCGGTGAGAATCGCTGCTGTTTCGATCACCGATAATGTTATCTCGCCTTGGGATAGTGAGCTTGGATTGAAAAGCGCTTTCAATGGATTTTTCCGAACGCCTACTCAATCTTTGCTCGAACGCCTTTATTGAACCCATAAGTTCTTCCATACTTAGATTTGAAATATCTTTGGTCTCTTCTACCACGACTACAATCGGATCGTATTTTTCCGGCAAGCTAATGAGAACTTTTTCGATAATTCTTCGATCATCAACTTGTTCGCCAAGTGTCTTCAATTGATTTACAATATCCACAACTCTCGATGAGTAGTCATTAAACTCTCATCATTCTTATTTTTTAGATTTTCAAATCTCTTCGCAGGGATTGGAGTCTCACGGCTCTGACCTTGTCGTTGCCCCGATACTCCTTTTGAAGAATATCCCAGGCCTCCTTTGCATTTGAAGCGTTGATAATTCTGGGAAATATTGTCTCAGCTACTCCTTGTATGATGAGATTTAGAGCATTCGCGTCCTTCCTCTGATACCACTCTGATGCTCATTTAATTGTTTATTTTGCTCGTTC